AAACCACCGATAAAGTGTTACGACCAAGATATATGAAAAGTCAGAATTTTGACTCAAGCTGCACATTCAGATGTGCACAGTTAATGCTAGTTCATACACCTCACGGCAACACCCCATTACTAATTGAATATAAAAACCACCCCGGACACCTGCGCAGGAGGCGGAAACGGAGCAATAGACGGCAGTGCCAGCCATAGTAACTAGCTAGGAAGGCATCACAAGCCTCTTCGCACTGCAGGATTTCACCACGCATTCACTTTTGTCTGGTCTGACTAATTCACTTGTTGTGCGACGCAAATACGAATTCCTGTACTTTGATCGCAAATTCAAAACAACCAAATTTCACTTATGAGATTCCTTTTTGCAATTTTGCTTAACTACCCAAACGCTCTTCGTTACAGCGCAATAGAAGACAACTGATTCAGAACCGTTTTCCTTTGATGAACTCTACAGTTTCCCCAGTTGATATTTTTCTCATTTCGCGAACAAGATCGCCAAGAATCGGCATATCCTCAGGCTGGAGCTAACTCTCATTCAGAATGCACTCCTTCAGTTAAGAGCCACCTTTATGTCAGAATCGGTACCAATTTTTAACCACTTTAGTTCACAAGTCCCAGCCTGGACATTCCTTACCCGTTGCTTGGAATAACTACGTATTAAACCACTGACAGATCCTGCGCAAATCACCTATTTGGTTATATATCAGTAAAAATTCCCCCTTTAAGCCATCTAAGACTTCTCTCACAGAATCAGTCGTTGTACGCATACTTAACGGCTTCGGAACAAAGCGCAATGCAGCCCTCCTCGCTGGGTTATATTTAGGTCCAATTGGGCTGCGCGCCCGCCTATGCCTCTGGGATTTGGCCTACCAAACCTCCTTCAACTTGAGGCAACTGCAAAGTGATTTAGCTCTGTTTATTTTTGGAACTTCCTCTTCCCTGTGCAAAGCGTACGCGGTCAGGAGAATCCACAAAGGCGAGGGTGCACAGGCGAAGGCGGAAGCCTGCGTGTGCGTGCGTACAAGCGTCTATTTTGGGCATGCCCTCAGACCATTTGATGTCAGATAAGCACAAGTGTTTTAAAGCTTTATTTGGTACTTTACAAAGCCATTTGCTAGGCACCCTCCAGCAGTTCTATATAGCTACTTCAAACAGAGAAATTAGCGTACCAACACATCCTTGTACGCTAAGACGCTCAGACATTATTAACTTAACCATACTGTGATCAATAAGCCACACACATCAACCGGAGGACCAATGACGTACAGCATGATATAATTTCCGGTTGTTTCAATAACGTTGCAAAATAGGGATATAACGAAATCTAACCTCCCGAGTTCGTGAAATGTCTTTCTTCCAATAGGTCTTAATGTAAAAGTTGAAAATGCAAAAATACGGCAATGCTCCTTAAAAAATCCCAAAATTTGCCTCAAGTCAATGCATAATCCAAGCTGTAAATTACTCTTATGTTTGTGATTTGCAAGCAAGAGCAAACCCAATAGAGCCGTAATGCATATGAAGCCCAATAAGTTCAGGACAGATCAAACCAAGTACGACTCCAAGTGAGAGGGAAAAATTATGCTTTCCCTGCAATAGGAAGCCGTGAATCGAAATAAATTACAGCGTAGCAAGGACACCAATTCGAAACTTCAAGGCAAAAACTTTAAATTTCAGACCAGTAGAAAGTAGAGAAATGCATTTCCAATTACCGTTCAACTAACGCACACCGCCTCATAAATTCTCGTACTCTTATATAGCCAGTAGCAAATCATTATTCCTAAAACACAAAGGCATCTAAATCACGCAAATTGTGTGAACCAGAATAGAATTTCTAATTTAATGAAACCATTTCCTCCCAAGTCACAGATCAAAAAAAGAAAAACGCGCATATTCCTCCAAACACCCAACTAC